TATAAGCAAAAAAGTTCATATAAATGTATGTCCTAAAATGATTTTTTCATTCTACAGGGTGTAGAAATATCATTTTTATTTCGATTTTTTCCAAATAACTTCTGAAGTAACGGCGATATATTTGGATGAAAATTGGTGTCTGCGAGTTTTGTGGCATAAGAAATTTGATTTTTATGTCAATATGACTCTTTTTTGTAGGGGGCGCTACCTGCATGTGTTTAATTGTTCTGAAGAGTAATACTTTTTTGTCCGTACCCGTATAAAACTACTGAGTGAAAAAATATACATTTCCATGATATTTTACGTAAAAAATGTCTCTTGATAAAAATCGCTACGAGCAACTTTTCTCAAGATATTTGGAATGGAAATAGTCAATACTCGTCATTATTGACAAAAAATAAACATTAAACATTAAAAATAAACATGTTGGAAAACACCCTTTTACGTAGAAAACGTCGTAAATGTATAATATTTTTTAGTCAGTAGTTTTATAGAGGTACGGACGAAAAGTTCATTCAAATTTTTCGTATCAAAAAACTCCCAGACACCAATTTTTATCCAAATATTGACGTTACTTCAGAAATTATTTGGAGAAAATCGAAATAAAAATGAAACTTTTACACCCTGTATCTTCGACACGCAGCATGTTAAGGTGCGTTCACACCCGCTGCGCTGCTCTGCGCCCCACCGCGCGAAACATTTTTTTAACATGTACTTTTGAAGTGTATTTTTTTAGCGCGCACAAAAGTATATGTTAAAAAAATGATTTGCGCGGCGCGGAGCGGCGCAGCCGAGCCGGTGTGAACGCACTTTTAGGACATACTTTATACGAACTTTTTTTACGACATTTAGACGAACTTTTTTTACTTGTTTTTATAATCTGAATTCTGCTTCAGAGTACAGTTCAGACAACCGTGTATATCGTTGATTACTTTTTTTTGGCAAACACATTTTTCCCCCAATTTTTATTTTCAAAACAGTGATAATGATTGATAAAAAAATTGTCAATTATTCAGGGAACCTAAATCTGCGAAAATTAAGGAATGTATTTAAAATAAAAATTTTTTTATAATATCTATACCTCTTTAGCAGGTCTATTTCTTGAGAACCGTATTTAACAAAAAAAAACAACTTTTTTATAGTTTAGATAATATTTTTCTCGATAATATTTTTAAGCCAGATATTGTACTCGTAATCTACGACAGTGATGTACATAAACATAACACAATGATGTGCATAAAATTTTCAACATAGTTATTCTAGTTTTTTTTCTAATGCATACTAATCGAGAATTACCGCATGTGTGATACATCCAGAAATTTAATACACTGTAGTTTTTCATTCATAACGATTGAACTAGTAAAAGCAAATAATTTAAAATTAAATAAAAGAACATCTAATGAGTATTTCGCGTGTTTTCTTTCAGAGTATGTTACTCCAAAGCGTATTCAATAAAAGAGAATCAGAGAAAACAGAAAACAATGAACTTAGTGACATTATAAATAGAATTTATTTTACAGAATATATTTAACCTTATTTTAGACCTATCAATTTTTTAAAAAATAAATATCACACGTTTGATTATTGGATAACATGCATTTATTAACTATTTCTTTATTTCTTTTAGACATGAGTCAGCTATTTGATCCGTGACTATCTGGTATAAGTTATAACATTAATACATTTTTGCTTGTAATCAGCTTCATGCAAACTACAAATTAGTTTTTAGATAAAGGCCATAAAACATTCTTTAATTTTATAAAGTAACTTTATATTGTTGACATAAAAACTAAAAAAAATATATTGAACATAATTAAAATATTAGAATTAAAGAAACTTGTTAATAAGTAAAATAAAACATTTAATAATTTTCATAAAATCGTATGCTTTCTTAATGTGATATTATGCAAAAGATTTTTGGTACTTTGTGGTAGTTTGTTAGTAGGTCGATCCCACTTCTGATGTCAGAATGTAGTACGTATTTTTCAAATAAAACACTGGATTTTCTTTATAATGTAAGAATAACTTGAATTAACTAAATCTCGCGCCCAAAACTAGGTTGGCAACTCTAGTGATTTTTTTAAAGGAAGTATTGTTAGGTAAGGATTATGGATAGTTGTTGTTGAAAAATTTGAAAGGTGGAGAAAAAAAATTACGAAAATTTATTGGTCATTTTATTAAGAAAATTCGTTAAAATTGTCGCTCCCCCATTTATAATAACTCCTTTATTCCGTCCTAGAACTCAAAATTACTTAAGAGCGACCCCTTCTCAATCGCCCGTTCTAGGTTTACGTTCCAACGTTCCAACTTCTCGTTACATACTATCTAGAGTCATTCCCTAAATTATAAAGGGCTAAATCTCACATATATGTATAAAGTGAAGGGTCCAGGGGAATAACTTGATAAGCATTACTTTCTTAATTTTAGGATTATACAATATTATAGTAGGTTTCACTAGTTCCTAGAAATATATAACCTCTGCAGGGCAAGAAGCTGTTAAATCCTATGATATATGCCTAGTAAAAATATAGAATACACGGAAAGAACTTGATAACCACCAGCCGTATGCTCTCCTATAAAATTAGTGAAATGGCGCTTATCATGTTTTCCCCTGGACCCTTCGAATACAATTAAGAAGTTTCCTTACATTTTGGTTTAAATATTTGGTAACATAAGAACATAAAATTAATATGAATAAATATATTTTAGGCAATAGTATATTTTAAATACATTACCAAAAAAATATTAAAGTAATTCCTTGATTTTTTTTATTCCAAAAATATAAAAATTTTGAAGTTTCTTTTTGTATTATAAATGTTTTATTAAAATATTTCTTATCCCGCCACGCCATATGAAGTCGAACGTACATATATAATATAAACGAACATTCTCTTAAGTTCTTAACCTTTTCGTTCGTATACATCATATACATATATTCATATCAATCACCGCCAGGAAAAGATTAAATATCGCTTTTTTATGTAATTTTTTGCAGTTCAAATTAGATCCGATATGTTTAAACGTTAAGAAAATCAACCGGGAACTGAAAATATATCCGAACGTTAAGAGATACCCAACGATACTGGCTTTAAAATGACTTGCTTTATGCTTGTAAAATTTTTGGCAGTAGGCAGGACCTAGTACCAACACCAACTAAAAACTAACTGAGTTGCCCATCGATTGACTAAGTGTTATCCCCTCGCACACACATATTCCCCCAGGACTTATTTAATAATTATTATTACTATTTTTAATTTGTTTTGTTTATTTATTTATTATTATTTTTAATTCAATTTTTCTTGGATTACAATAATTTGCTTACTTTTCTAATTAATTTTAAGTGTATAAATAACGCTGATATTCGTGCAAATCTATAATTCCTTATTTAGTTCTTAACGAATATACAGTGTTGTCCGGACTGTATTCCGGAAACTTCGGCAGCATATTCTGCAGATAAAAATAATTAAAAAAGTTTGTATAAATGTATGTCCTAAAATGCTTTGTTTCGGAGATACAGGATGTAATTTTTCCAAATAATTTCTGAAATAACCTCAATATTTGGATGAAAATTGGTGTCTGGGATTTTTTTGGCATGAACAATTTGATTTGGATGTCAATATGACTCCTATTTGTAGGGAGCGTCACCTACATGTGTTTTAACTGTTTTAAAGAGTAATAAGTTTTCGTCCGTACCTGTATAAAACTACTGAGTGAAAAAATATGCATTTCCGTTATTTTCTACGTAAAAAATGTCTCTTGGTAAAAAACTCCCAGACACCAATTTTCATCCAAATACTGACGTTACTTCAGAAATTATTTTGAAAAAATCGAAATAAAAATGAAACTTCTATACTTTGTATCTTCGGAACTAAGCATTTTAGGACATACATTTATACGAACTTTTTACTTATGTTTATCTGCAGAATATGCTGTCGAAGTTTCTGGAATACAGTTCGGACGACCCTGCATAACAAAACCAAGGATTGTCTTTAAAGGAACTTACAGGTTCTTTTTTAAGATATTTAGAAAAAGGACAATCTTTAACAAGCGCTACAGATGTTATTACATTAACTCTATAATTTATTTCACAATTTTATATCCAAAATACGTTTGCTTTAACCCGTGGGAGGTCTATGTACGTACGTGAACTTTTCGAATCTTTACGTTTTATTGCAACTATATTGCTCCAACTAGGCTCTGGGGTGTTATAACAACGGATAGAGATAAAGTATTATTAGATTACCGAAATATGTTAAGTGTACGTGTTTCTTTTCCCAGCATTTTTGAACATTTTAGCTGGTTTAAATTTAAGAATCGCTAAAATTTATTTAACTTCTAAATATCTCTAAGTAGATTACTGTGTTTAGATTGAAATAGAGCTTTGTTGACACAAATGATCGCATATGTGCTTGAAGAGAAACCAATCTTCATCAATAACCTTTTTATTGTTTCCTTTCTATATTTGCAGCCAGTCTCCTATACTAGTACCTCACACTTGCTTATACAGGTCCTTTTGATAAGATGGGAGCATAGTTCCTCCGGTTCTAGCATTGTTTTTCCAAATAAAAAATGTCGCTTACGATCTAGAGCCTCGCAGTGACGAATTATGTGCTGTGCTGTTTCAGGATCTTTATCGCAGAGTTTACAGAAAATACTTCCTAGATATAGGTTGAGCTTGCTCAGGTAGCACTTGACAGCCATATATCCTGTCAAGAGAACTGTTGTAATCCTTATTTTATTCCTTCTGAGCATTAGCAGTTCCTTTGTGGTTTTAGAATTAGGTCTTTGGATGAGGACCTTTCTATGTCTGTACCTCGGCCTGTGCTTACTGCAGTTTTACTGTACTGCAGGTCATACATTTTGGTATTCCCAATCTCTGAATCAATATAATATTCAACCTTAGATTCATTAATATCAATGCTTTTAATTCGTTAAAATATTTTTAACTAGATATATCTGTTCCAATAGGCGTATTTAAAAGAGTAATTTTTATGTTTCAGACAATCAACCCAACCAAAATTCGAGTACAGTGCCGTAAAAACCGACGCCGGCAATGACAAATACAGGCCTGAATCGACCATACGAAATGGCGTTTTTGTTGCTGTCAAAAGAAACCTGGAGGATAGCGAACGATACGAACTCAGAGCTCAACTGGGCGAAATTGGTCATAGAGCTGAGAAAAACTGGTAAGCTGACTTTAATCGATAGCTTCTTTCTCAGTTTTAAAAACAAAAATTCAAAAGAAACTACTTACAGCGCTGCAGCACACTATGGTTTATAGAAGCTACTTTTTGGCCAAAATTAAACAACTTACATTTAATAGAAAATATTGACTGTAAATTTGTGTTTTTCATAAAATAATAAAAGGCTAATAAAATGAAGTTATTTTTAATTATTATTTTTCTCATTCAACGTGTGATTAACTTTTATCTATGAAGCATCTTCTGTATCTAGTTCCAAAAAAGAAAGTTGATCAATCGAATTACTGCTGTCCAAAAAACAATCTTCTTTAGAAATATCTTCTTGCTCTTCTTCTTTTTGCATTTCTTCTTCTCCTTGCTCTTCCTCCTCGTATTCCTCTTCTTTTCCATGATTCACTTCAAAATGTTCTTCATTTAACTTCTTTTCGATAAGGTCAGGTACACGAATTAGGTTAAGTACATCGGCAGGATAACTAAATTTACAAAGCAGCCTGCACAAGAAGTAAAGTATTTTGCAGCATGCACTAGTAAAGCCCCATCCTGCTTATGTTCCTCGGAAACTTTTGAGGTCGTTCTTCTCTGGGTTATGGAAGATTGCTCTGAAAAAGGTAATCGTGGGCGGCCGGCAGATGATGTGGATGGAAGGGGTTCATTTAACTCAAGGATAAAATCCTCCTTTAACCAGTCTTCATTTTGTTTTAAAAAAAAATTTTAAGCCGCGAAGCCGCCTGCCATCTTCTTTCAAAGTTTATACAAAGGCGATTTATCTTTTTTTCCATTGTGCCTGATAATTCTTGTCAATTAATCTGAAATTTCTGTCTTACAAAATTTAAAACATACCCGTTTTTCTCAACTTTATCGGCCGCTTGTAGCCATTTTTCCAAAAGATCTATTTTTTTCAATCGACAACATAGCAGAAAAAAAAATCTTTTAAAAAAAAGTTGCAGCTAGTAGCAGCCAATTTTTTCTTTGATATGTTCAGAAAGGATTGTTTCAAATTTTACAATAACATCTAGCATGGAGAAACATGGAGAATTTTTTATAAGTCAAACTAAACTTTTAACTTTTTGTTTATGTTCTGTCTTAAACTCATTATTTTTAATTAATTAAAAAATAATAGACGCTGATTCTTATGTGCAATTGTTGTGTACATAAAGTGTAAAAATAACAGTGATCCGTTTTTATATCCCACTGAAATATATTACTTAATATTCACCAAAACTCTTCCGAAAATAAACAACTGAATAGGCACAAATACTTCACTAGAACGTCTGAATATAAATGCTGATAAGGAATAAAAATGAAAACTAAACAAAAATATGTGCTTGTGGTCTTCTTCATTTGTATATCTGCTTGCATTCCACTTACAAAAAAAGTCCATATACAGTGAGTCTAAAATATGTATTTTGGCCAAAATATTAGCTTCTAGAAACCATAGTGCAGCACGGAATATAACATTAAATTAATTTTCATTTTCAGGTTTACCGTCCACGATTTGAACATTGGCGCTGAAAGACTGCTTACGTTGTTACCATTGCCGTCCACCTGTCCAATTATTCCATCTCCGCAAATTAGAGAAGTTTTCCTAGAACTTTTTAGGTACCTAACACTTAATAAAAGCTGCCACTTCTCATAAAAATAAAACAATAATAATTTAAAAAAAATGTGTGTGCACTTCGTGCGCATATTTGAAGTGAAACTTCATACATTCGTCTGTCTGTCTGTCCGTCTACCATTCGGGTACCTCTATCCACGTGCCGAGTTTGGAACCAAACTCGGCATCAACCCATAATTAAGAAAAAACCTGATGATTTCGTCCATTTAGAGGCATCGCGCATCGGTTCGAATCGTCGAGTGCGTGATCCTGTAGCCCGTCCCCAATTATGCCAAAATCGACCCACATTTTTCTTCAATATCAAATCCTTAGTCCCATCCTGATGAAAATGTAAACGAAACGTCGCGTCATATCCAACTTTGCAGGGTGGGATCGTGTTCACCGTCGCTCACATAGCCTATTCACCAAATTTGGTCGCGATCGGACGACGATCAACTTTTGACGTTTCTTACGTCAAAAGTAACTGTCACAGTGGCACGTGTCGTACACGGTCAAGTTGACTTTGGTCCAATCTATAGACGTACCAAATTTCATTTAAATTGGACGATTTTTTGATTTGACTCATTGATGATGAGGTTTCGTAGTGCACGAAATATCGTCAAAAATATCATGAGAAGATGCCTACATTCCGAGTTTCTGCCCTTTAGCTCACATAGGGCCCGAGTTACAATACTCCTAGAGCGTTACCACTTTTCCTCTCGCGAGCTCGTGTGTCACGGCCTTCAATTTTTACTTCAATGACGCGTAAAGAACATTCTATGGCTTGTAATTTAATGGCTTTATATGTCTCTCTATAAAAAAATTGATTATTCAATATTTTATCTCAGTAAATGAATTTTTAAATGGGACCAGTTATCGACTAAATTGGGGAGTTTACAAAATTTGATTTAGTACTTCCTCCAAGAGAAGAAAAAAGACTCATAGTCTCGGTTTCAACATTCAATTGTTCGAAACAATTCAATTAATGATGAGACCGAGACTTTGAGTCTTTTTTCTTCTTGTGGATTTATAAATTAGGTCTCTTTAGTAATAATGAAATCTCTTTCTTTATAATAATAACTCCTTTATACCCTTGTAGAACTCAAGATTGTTAAGAGGCGACCCGACATTCTCAATTGCCTGTTCTAGATTTGCGTACCAACTAACTATACCGAGCGTAGTATTTCTCTGAACCTATCAATCTCCCGTTACATGATATCTAGAGTCATTCCCTAAATTATAAAGGGCTAAATCTCACATGTATAAGTGAAAGGTCCAGGGGAATAACTTGATAGGCGTTAATTTCTTAATTTAAGGATTTTATAATATTATAGTAGGTTTCACCGGTGCTTACAAATATATAACCTCTGCAGGGCAATAAGTTGTTAAATCCTATGATATATGCCTAGTAAAAATATAGAATATACGGAAAGAACTTGATAACCACCAGCCGTGTGCTCTCCTATAAAATTAGTGAAATGGCGCTTATCATGTTTTCCCCTGGACCCTTCAAATACAATTAAGATGTTTCCTTACATTTTGGTTTAAATATTTGGTACATATATTGAGAACATATAAAATTAATATGAATAAATATATTTTATAAAATAATATATTTTAAATACATTACCAAGAAAATATTAAAGTAATTCCTTGATTCTTTTTATTCCAAAAATATAAAAACTTTGAAGTTTTTTTTTTGTTAGATCATAAATTTCTTATTAAAATATTTCTTATCACGGCACGCCATATGAAGTCTTTAGACGAACATTCTTTTAAGTTCTTTACCTTTTCGTTAGTACTATCATATCATATCATATTATATTCATATCAATCATCTCCAGGAAAAGATTAAATATCGCTTTTTTATGTATTTTTTTGCAGTTCAAATTAGATCCGATATGTTTAAACGTTAACAAAATCAACCGAAGAGACCGAGACTTTGAGTCTTTTTTTCTTCTTGTGGATTTATAAATTAGGTCTCTTTAGGAATAATGAAATCTTTTTTAAGTTTTAGTGCTTTCTGTTACAAATTATATTAAACTTATATAATTCTAAATATTTTTTATTTATTATATTCCTTTTAAAGGAAAAAATAATAAAAGGTCTAGAAAAAGTTCAAAACTAGTATGGATTATTAAGTCCCAAATGTCGTACATATATAATATCAGAAAACTAATTATCAAATTCAAAAAAATTAAAATGCTGGAGTGCAGAAAATTAATTGTGTGTGTTTATCTAGAAACGTAATTTTTGGCTCTTTCTTCTCGATGCAAGTTCACTACAAACAACGAATTACTAAAAATCGATGAAATTATCCCTGGTATCAACTTCTAAGTAATAAAAAAATATATAAAAATATACAGGGTGGTCCGAACTGTATCAAAAACTGCATAACTGTATCCGGAAACTTCGGCAGCATATTCTGCAGATAACAATAAGTAAAACAGTTCGTATAAATGCATGTCTTAAAATGCTTAGTTTCGGAGATACAGGGTGTAGAAGTTTCATTTTTATTTCGATTTTTTTCAAATAATTTCTGAAGTAACGTCAATATTTGGATGAAAATTGGTGTCTGGGAGTTTTTTGACAATTTGATTTTGATGTCAATATGTAGGAGGCGCCACATACATTTGTTTTAACTGTGTTGAAGAGTAATAATTTTTCGTCCGTACCTGCATAAAAAAACTACTGAGTAAAAAATGAACATTTCCGTGATCTTTTACGTAAAAAAATGTCTCTTGGTAAAAATCGCTACGAGCAACATGTCATAATAGTTCAGAAATTATTTGGAAAAAATCGAAATAAAAATGAAACTTTTACACCCTGTATCTCCGAAACTAGACATTTTAGGACATACATTTATACGAACTTTTTTTTAAAATATTTTATCTACAGAATAGCTCGCAAAGTTTCGACCACCTCACAGTTCGACCCACCCTAGTATATAAAACACGATTCATTGAATTTGTTTACAAATTTAATAAAATCTTTTAATTTTTTGACCACAGGTTGGTGTAATTTAAAAACAGAGAGTCAGTTCTTAAGACTTAATAACTTTATGAGGTTTTTCGAAAACATCCATAATATTCATCCCGTTCCTTGACATCCATTTCTTGGAGACGAAGGAGGCTGCCCTCGTCTAGCCCTTAAATCCCAGGCAGTTTGAAGGATATTCATTTACGGCACTAACGTGGCAAGGACGACTACAGGAGAAAAATACGTAAACAGGGGTGAAGGATTGCCCTTGAGAATGGTGAGTATTTCTTGTTCGTGTGCTACTAAAGTAATAAAAAAAAATTATGTTGAAAAGTTGTCCTACAGAAATGCATAAAAGATACACTAAACGATATACATTGATTTTTTTAACTCAATAATATCACAAGTAAAATATAAACAAAGCGTTTAGAATGTTAGAAAAGTGGGAGGGCGGGTTAATCACCTCGACCTAATAGATGTATTCTATTA